ACTGATGAGAAACAAAGAAACAAAGAGACTGATGAGAAACAAAGAGACAAAGAGACTGATGAGAAACAAAGAGACAAAGAGACAAACAGACTGAGCCTGAAAGACTTCAGCGGCAGCACGGATGTCGAGTTTTTCCTCTTCTTCCTGTTTGTCGTGGATTCTGGTTCCGGGTTCTCATTGGTGTTGTGGTTTTAGGTCTGTGATCCATGTTCTGATCCTGACCCAGTATCTGATTCGAGTCCTAGTCTTGACCTTTTGTGGCGAGGTTCTGCCCACTTCCTGTTTGCGTCATTTTTTTTGTCTATCGAGTCCAAAAATGGAGCTGCTGTGAATCTGGAGCCAGAGGGTCGTTGATGTTGGTAACGGAGCGCGCTCAGTTGGTCTGAGTGAATCTGTGTTTTCTTGATTATTCGTCTCTTTAAGTCCCGATGTTTTTTTTTCAGAGATAATAAAAACTCATGTTTTTTGTCTCCTGCTGTTCAGAGGTTTCTCTCTGTCTCTGTTTTTATAAATCTGTCCTCGTTAGTATTCAGAGAGTCGACTGTGAAAATCGTTTGAAATGCAAAAACATCCAGTTTCTATATTTCATCACGGAGATTTTCATGTTTCATAAATTAGAGACTTTGTTCTTCATTAATAATCAGGATCATTAAACGTCTTCATCCAAACCTGCAGGATTATTGACTTCCTGCTAATATTTGAGCAGATTCTCCGTGTTTGTGATGAGATCAGATTTAATTCAGTCAGTGTGTCACTGTCGCAGATCTCACTCTCTCACTCTTACTGCAGCCTCATTCATTCATTCATTCATTCATTCATTCATAGAAGAAGAAACACAGTCGACTCACAGAGACATTATTAATATTATTGATCACTGAAATTATCAAGATTGATTTGAAGAGTCTTTCAAGTCTTTTCTGTTTCTGTTTGTTTTGAACGTCGGAGGAAAAGTGAGTTTAGAAAACAAAGGAGGACGTCAGAGAACGGAGGACGAGATTTAGGAATGATTTCAGAGAAAACCGACGTGAGAAGAAAGAAGGAGCCTTTTTCAAGAAGAGGGTCATGTGATCAGTTTTCTTTTTATGGCTCTGAGATTCAGAATCAAAGCAGCCGATAAAAAAGGAGGAATGAAGATTTCAGCATCTGTGTGCGATTAATAAGGTCTGACTGTTTCTAAGAAAGTGAAGATGAGCAGAAAAATTCACGTCAGCGTCTGAAAGTTCGTTTTTACTCACGATCAAACCTCCGACATGAACATTATTACACGAGGATCCTGAAATCCAGGAACTCGCAGATTCACAATCAATCGTACGATAACGAGTTGTCTCTCTAAAGACAGACACATAGACATATAAGCAGTAGATTGTGTCCTTCCAGAGGAGGAAATCTACTTCTAGACTTCTAGAATCAGCATCTCCTCATCCATGGTGTCATCGGGGTGAAATGACGTCTAAAAACCTTTCACTTGTTCGTCTCCGCCCGTTTGCATGGTGTGAAATACGATCCTCCTGAAACACGGAGTGTTTTATTTTGAAAAGAAGCCGGATGTTTTATTTTGTGTCCGTGCCCGACTTCCTTTCCAGCACGGGTTAATCTGTGCTGAATTTATCCGCCATGCTCCGGCGTCCAGAAAAAATAGAACTCTTGAGATCAGCTGAGGAGTCCGGCGATCCGCAGAGGAACGGAAAGAAGTCGGTGTAAATTGAGACGTTAACTTGAATGGTTACGATCAGCTACGATCGGAGGATACGACCTTTTAGGAGACGATCAGGATGAAGGTGGAGAATTCGGGGTTAGCGTCAGATCTGATCGGACTTCATCTGTTGACTTCCTGTTTCCCTGCAGCTGAACTCGTCTCCACCTGTCGTCCTGCGAGGTCTTCAGGGTCCCGTTTGAGTGTCTGTTTGTTGTCGCACTAATGGCGTGCTTTCCCCCCGGCGTCACGCAGCAGATGTCTGTGTGTACGGCGAGCTGGCAGCGTTCAGGTGGCAGATGCTGGAGCCGAGCGCCAAATGCCGAGAGTCAGACACAGATGGAGCGACACGTTCAGGGGGGAGCGACGGCGCCGCCGACCTTCTGCTGCCGGAGGTGAGACGGACCGAAGAGAGGAGGAGCTACACACACACACACACACACACACAGACACACACACACACACACACACACACACACACACACACACACACACACACACACACACACACACACACACACACACACACACACACAGAGACACACACACAGACACACACACACACACACACACACACACACACACACACACACACACACACACACACACACACACACACACACACACAGACACACACACACACACACACACACACACACAGAGACACACACACACACACACACACACACACACACACACACACACACACACACACACACACACACACACACACACACACACACACACACACACACACACAGACACACACACACACACACACACACACACACACACACACACACGCAGGTTCTGGTTCTGGTTCTGGTCTCAGTCCCTGAAAGCCCCCCTCTCCCGTCGGGTCGTGGTCTGAAGGGTCCGGATAGTCCTGACTCAGGTCTGCTGTCAGCAGGTTCTGGTTCTGGTTTGAGGATCAGATTGATGGGGGTCAGCTCAGGGTGGGCGGGTCCATCTCTCAGCTGATCTGAGGTCAGCAGTCTGCTGATGTACAGGAAGTGACCTCAGTGACCCCTCACGTCCCTAGCCGGGCTGAAGAACCGTTTGCCTAAACCCGGGTCCCCAGAGTCCGCTTCAGTCCACCACCTGTCCATCAAAGACTCAGCCCCCCCCCCCTTCTCTCTTCAGGACCGACGAGGACCAGCGGGTCTGTTTAAGGGGACTAAAGAGAGACCAGCGGGTCTGTGTCCTCTACTGATGGAAGATCAGTTCTTTTGAGTGACTCTTTAGAATAATTAAAAAGATTCGTTCACTGAATCAGTCAGTGTTTCAGAGCCCCGTCCTGCTGCTGCACTACACCAGTGAGTGACACAGCGGCGAGTTCGTTCATTAGCCCCTCCCCTCTCCTGCTGATGAAGTCACAGCGTCGTTCTCTGGGTGACTCGTGTTGTTCATTCGCCAAGTCCTGAAGGAAGAATCACTCCCCTTCTCTGAAAAACTCACCTCTCTGTGTGTCGCCGTCTGTTGGCGGAAACGACACAGCAGCGAGCAGCACGCTGCTAAACGAGCGCGAGTCGTTGTTCTTTTATATCGTAGAAAAGTGGCGAGATGAAAAATAAACATGTCAGCTGTAGCGAGGATTCAGATACTTTAAAGAAATCAAATATCATATTTCTTTAAATCGTCTGAAATTAAATCAGGAAAGTTTAAACACGTGTTTTAATGTAAAGGCGCCATAATGACCTGATTTATCTCAGTCAACCAACCGCTGCTCAGCAGGAAGTGAACGACGCTACACCCCTCCCTCTTCTGCCTGAATAAAGTCGTTCATTTCGTTCAGTCTGACTGATACATGTCGTTCATTCGCTGTGAGTAAGTCATGAGACTCCGCCCACTTGCTCGCTGACTCTGTGTCGTTCGCCAAAGAGTCAAAGGCGTCAGTTCCACTCCTGACCGCCACGCCAGACTGAGCTCAACTGACCTGAGAGAAGAACCAATCAGGTCTCAGAGTGACTCAGCAGTTTTTTTGAACGAATCGTTCATGAACGACTCGACTGTTTCTGAGTCTCCAAGAGACGGTTTGATGTCTCTGATGTCCCTGATGTCTCTGATGTCCCTGATGTCTCTGATGTCCCTGATGTCCCTGTAGTCTCTGATGTCTCTGATGTCCCTGGAGTCCCTGATGTCCCTGATGTTCCTGTAGTCCTTGATGTCCCTGATGTCTCTGATGTCCCTGATGTCCCTGATGTCTCTGATGTCCCTGTAGTCCCTGATGTCCCTGATGTCTCTGATGTCCCTGATGTCCCTGATGTCTCTGATGTCCCTGTCGTCCCTGTAGTCCCTGATGTCCCTGATGTCTCTGATGTCCCTGATGTCTCTGATGTCTCTGATGTCCCTGATGTCTCTGATGTCTCTGATGTCCCTGATGTCCCTGATGTCTCTGATGTCCCTGATGTTCCTGTAGTCCCTGATGTCCCTGATGTCTCTGATGTCTCTGATGTCCCTGCTGTCCCTGATGTCCCTGATGTCCCTGATGTTCCTGTAGTCCCTGATGTCCCTGATGTCTCTGATGTCCCTGATGTCCCTGATGTCTCTGATGTCTCTGCTGTCCCTGCTGTCCCTGATGTCTCTGATGTCCCTGATGTCCCTGATGTCCCTGTAGTCCCTGATGTCCCTGATGTCCCTGTAGTCCCTGATGTCTCTGATGTCCCTGATGTCTCTGATGTCCCTGATGTCCCTGATGTCTCTGATGTCCCTGATGTTCCTGTAGTCCCTGATGTCCCTGATGTCCCTGATGTCCCTGATGTTCCTGTAGTCCCTGATGTCCCTGATGTCTCTGATGTCTCTGATGTCCCTGCTGTCCCTGATGTCTCTGATGTCCCTGATGTCCCTGATGTCTCTGATGTCTCTGATGTCCCTGATGTCCCTGTCCCTGTCGTGGTTTTTAGTCGTTCACAGAAACGTTAAAGTCGAAGTTTTTCTGAGGAAACAGAAAAGGTCGTTCATCGTCTCGCTCAGACCGCCATCTTTGAGCCTCTGACAGTCGCACTCTTCTTCTTCTTCTGTGGTGGCAGAGGGACTCTGAGGACAGCTCTGACTCTGACCTTTGACCTCAGAAGGCGTGGCTGTGTTGAAGTCGTCCTGATGAAGACAAAGGTGAACAGCTGATGTCGGTTTTTCCTCGTCAGCTCCGATCCGCCGTCGTTAATCCCACTGAAGAAAATCTTTAATTCGTCCTCACAGGCGCCCAAATTTCACTAAGTGTTTTTTAATCTGAGCGCTGACAGATGTTCACACACACACACACACACACACACACACACACACACACACAAAGAGTCCTGGAGTCCGACCCGATCGTCGGACTTTGTTCCTTTAAGAATCAAACTGTGACCTTTGACCTGAGTGTGATTCAAAAACCAAATCAATAATGTTCATGTGTTAATGTTTAATTATCTTTAAGTTTGATTGATCCAAACTGATGATCAGTTTCTGTTAGTTTTTGTTTTTTTCTAAGAAATTTTTTACAAAATCGAATTTTTGACCAAAAAACAAAAACAAACAAACGAGGAGAAAACGTGAAAACGAAGAGAGAGAGAGAGAGAGAGAGAGTGTGTGTGTGTGTGTTACTGCAGGTCAGGTCCGTCTGTTTCCATGGTAACCAGCTCAGAGGTAAATATCGTCTCCGTTTTCATCTGAATTTCTTTTTCTGACTTTTATTTAAATTTTTGTTCTTAAAAATTTCAGATTTTCTTCCTGATTCAGTGAAAAAAAAACTTTAAGGAGAAAAACTGAAACTAAACTTTTTTATTTAACATTTTTCATGAAACTTAATTTCATTTAATGAACATTTTCACTAATTTTACATTTACATCCATAAAAAAATCCATTTAAAGACACAATCATTTAAGGATGTTAAAAATTAAAAACATCTGAAGTTTCAGATTTTTAATCAATAATAATTATTTTTATCATTTATAATAATTAATTCTTATCCTCAGATTAAAATTATAGTTTTAATCTAATGATGAGACGTCATTGGTCGATTTAGTCGGAGTTTAATTTAGAGAAAATGAGATAATTTAGAATTTTGACGTTTTTTTTCAGATAAATTCACAGATTTGAAGTCGATTCTCCTGAAGATTCGTCACCTTCAGGTTTTAAAGATAAAAACATCATTTTAAAGGTTTTCTGCACTCAGTCTGTCGTTTCTGATTCAGAGGGTTATTCTTCCCCCTGCTGGTCAAACTGCTTTACTGCAGTTTCATCAGATCAACAGTCTTTCATTATTTTTCCATCCATTGATTTTATCCTTTAATTAACATTCATGTAAAAGTTTAAATCAGTGTCAGTTTTATTTCCTGAGTTTAAATTTTGTCTTTTAAAAAAAAATCATTTTCTCCTTTTTTATAAATTAATTTCTTGGACTCGGTCTGTGATCTCGTCGATGAATCTGTGAATGAAGTCTTTATTTATTCAGCGATGGTCGTGGTCATTTTACTCCTCACAGTTTTCAGTAATTAAAATAATTAAGATTTTTGTGAGCTTTTAAAAAGGTTTTTTTAATTAATTGAACTTTTAATTTGAACTTTCAGATCAGCTGAAAACAGTCGACAGTTCTTTGAGTCGTTCTGCGGATCTGAACCTCCGTCTGATTTTCTTCTTCTTTGGTTTTTGGTTCTTTTTGTTTTTTTCCCATTTTCAGTTGAACTCGTCTCCGAACGTCGGCTCTGGACTCTGAAGAACCAGGAACCAAGGACCAGAAGTTCAGGAGGACACCAGGACCCCAAAGGTCACAGCTTTAGTTCTTTGACCTCTGACCTCTGATCCCCGAAACCCCAAAAACCAACAGAGATGTTTAGTGACGGTAAAGACCGGAGGTCCCAGAGACCGAGGTCAGTTTTCAGGACACAGGACTGAGTCACCGTGGGTTCAGATGGATCAGATCTCCCCTCGCTCGTCACCTGCTGTTTGTTTTATTGGGGGGTTGTAGGTCCAGCTGCAGTCGTCCTGGTCAGGTGAACTCAGGTGTGAAGAGGGCGGAGCGATAGAGCGGCGGAGCGATAAAGGAGCAGGAGGGAAATGGTTGAGGGTTGGACCTGAAAAGGAACTTCATGGGACAGCAAGACCAAGAGCTCCACAGAGATCGGACTGAAGCGCCGCTGGAAGAGCGACTGTTCGTGTTTTTCTTCTTTCTGTACTTTAAAGCGATTTTCTACAATTCTTCATTATTCCTGGAACCAGAACCAGAACCAGAACCAACTTTACTGTCCAAGTATGTTCAGTAAACTTTAACCTTGATGAACAAACTTGAAATATGAAATGTTATAAAAATGACAAAGTCTAAAAATAAAACGTAAAGATACAGAAGAGGAGAACATCGATGAAGAACGAAACGTGTGTCCGAGTTTGTTTGTGTTGGTAAATGAAGTTTGAACAGGATGAACATGAAAATGATGATAAATAACAATATGAATATTAAAATGAATATTAAAATATTAAAAAGAATATTAAAATGAATATTAAAATGAATATTAAGATAATATTAGAATAATATTAAATTAATATTAAAATGAATATTAAAATAATATTAAAATAATATTAAAATAATATTAAATTAATATTAAAATTAATATTAAAATAATATTAAAATGAATATTAAAATGAATATTAAAATGAATATTAAGATAATATTAAAATAATATTAAATTAATATTAAAATGAATATTAAAATAATATTAAATTAATATTAAAATGAATATTAAAATAATATTAAATTAATATTAAAATTAAAATTAAAATAATATTAAAATGAATATTAAAATGAATATTAAACTGAATATTAAGATAAT